ATATATATATATATATATATATATATATATATATATAACTTTTATATGCCAGGCACTTAAAAAAACCTTTCTCAAGCATTAAAATCTAATCCATACAACAGCTTTATGAGGCTGTACTATTGTTATGCCCATTTTTCAGATGAGAAAACTGAGGCACTGAGGACTAAGTAACTTGCCTAATGCTAGTCAGCTAAAATGGTGGATCCTGGATTCACATACAAGTAGAATGTGCCATCTGCCTTTGTATTATAGGCTCTAAAAGATCTTTAAGCATAGGGTGAGCGGAGTATTTCTAGTAGTCAACACCTCTGAGCTGAACAGACTAACCGAAGAGGTATTCACACACTGGGCCCTCACTTGGTGGCAATCTTGCAATGATCTACGGTCATGCACTCAATAAGGATACCAATGCTAGTGTCAGAGGGGATTCAAGTACCAGGAGCTGAGTCAGCTGAGCTTTAAGATCCCTGTCTTCCAATGCTGACATTCCACAGTCCCAAGTCCTAAGAGCCTGAAATAGCACAGTGGGAAGCAGCTCTGGGTCAGTCCCGGACACCTGGCTCCCAAACTTGTAGCTTTGGCGTCATGGTCTCTGTTTGCCTGTTTGAGCATGAGGGGATACAGAGGCAGACAAGGCCTATAAAGGGCCCATAAAAACCTAGAAGAAATGCTGAGAAAGACATACAAAGGGTTAGAGACAGTAACAAGGAAAAAGGTGAAAGAAATTGCCATACATAGGCCTGAAGTTCATTGTAGCATTATAAATAGAAGCCAAAAAATTGGGCATAATGGAACCTGCCACCAGGGGAGCAGGTTAAACATGTGGGTACATCCATAAAACAGGATATTATAAATGAGATCTATAATGTGTCTAAAAGTCCCTAAGACACCTAAAGGTAAAAAAAAAAATTTTGTAACAGCTGTCTGAAGTGGGTTTCATTTGTATAAGGAGAGAAATTTTATATACACTCAACTCCAGCAATGTATAGGATATTTCTGGGAAGCCTACATAGGAAACTGATAATGTTGGTTGGCTTTGGGTAGTGACTTGGAGATAAGAGGGCCACTTAATTTGCATTACAGAGTCTCTCTTTCATTACAAAAAGATGTGCATATATATGTCTTTTGCAAAACAAAAAAACAAAAAAAGCCCAGTAAATTAGAAAATAAAATTTAGCTTAAACATGGCATCTGTGGTGATGGCCTTGAGGCAACCTCAGAACCCCATGTCACTTGACCCTTGAAGTGGGCAGACTGCTTCTAAAGACCCTTCTCTCCCGTTAGAGGCTGAGGCAGACATCAGAAGCACAACAGTCTTTCACCTCCAACAAAATTCTCAGGCCTTAGATCCCTGTACTTCTTAAGATGTGGCTAAAAAACAGGTCTTTAAGCTCTGGAGGGAAAGGCCAAATCATAAAGGCGACCACTAGGATGTTCTCCATTTTGAGCCTGTAGAAGCTAAACAATGCCCTTGAGATACCTGAGGACTTGCCCTAGGACATGTTACCCAGAGAGCCTGCTTTGTACACACTCTGAGGAGCAGGCTCTACCAATATGGCCAAAGCCTTCAAGAAGGCAGAGCAAATGCCCCACTTATGGAAAAAAATAAGCCATTTCTGTACCCCGTATAGTCCCTCCCACATCTGGGGTAACCATGCTTTGGCAGCCAAAGCAGAGAAAATGGCAGCTGTGCTTCCCAGAGCTGAAGGCCATCTTCCAAGCCAGACTGTTGTGCCAGGGCCAGTTTGAGTAACCATCAGAAAAGAACACTTCCCCCCACGCCCACCCCCCAAAAAACCCCACACACGCACTTACCCTCTAGCTTGTCAGTGTCCTTTGTGGAAGTCTGTCCCGAGACCTCACCATCATTCACTTTTGGATGCTTGTCATGCTCAAGGAAAGGAAGGGGACATCAGAAGCAAGTCCAGACCAAAAACCACTCTTGCACAACTTGGCATTTGACAGATGAGGGAACAAAAAGCCAGAGAGGTTGATGGAGATTTCTCAGGCTATTGAATATCAGAGTTGGGAGTAGTCCTCAGGGTTTTCCCTGTCATCCTACTCTTCCCTTCAGGCATGAAAGATCTCTATTCGCAGATGGCTTACGGACATGTAAAAAACAAAACAAAAAAAAATTGACCGTATAAAACATCATGTACAAAGAAGGCCTTCATGAAAGAGGAAGGCATCAAGCAGAAAAAGGTGCAGAAAACAGGAGGGTGGGAGGCTAGCAGTGGAAGCCCAAGTGTGTTGGTGGCTTAGTAATGTGCTTAGTAAGACCAGGAAGGTGTGCCTGAAAGTTTTTGAATGGAAATATGGGGAGGTAGAGGAAGGTGCAGGAACCTGACTGCCAAACTACAGGCTGGGAAGCTTCACTATGTGAGTCTGAGCTGTTAAAGGTTTTGGAACTCTGCTTTTAAAAGATCAAGCAGTGTGAAAGAGTTTTGAGGGGGTAGGTAGAGCCCAATGAAGCCCAGAAAGAGAAATGTTAACAGAGTGGTTGGACCTGGACGACTCAGGAATCTATAGTAAGTTTGGAAAGGAAAGAGATTGGACATTAAAGAACTGGTAACTGAAGTGATGCTGACCAAGATAAGAGTAGAAAAAATTAGCTATAGGGGAAAAAAAGATGAAAATTTTTTCCAAAAGTTACTCCAGAGGGTCTTTAAGAGCAGAACTGAGGAGATTATTACCCTGAACCGTTTAGTTGTATCAAAGCTCAAACTCACTAGCATCCCTTAAAATTCTCTTCATCATGTGACCTTATATTTCCAAAGCTTCCGTTTACCTGTCAAAAGAGAGAACTAGCATGTTCCAGAATAGACCAGTCCTCCTTGCCCATCACTTTCCTACCTGGAAAGTCTCTCTCAAGATTCAGCTCTAGTGTGACTTTTAAAGTCCTCCCTGCCTCCTCCCCTAGACGGAGGCAAGCTCAGCCTTCCCTTTGCACCCACCATGTTCCCTATCCTAAGAAATAGCTAGTGCAGTTGGACTCCTCAGAAATAGTCTGGTTGAAGGTTAAGTTTGGTAGGTAACCACTCATTGGCAGGGGGTTGAGAAGTCCATGGCTCCTGTCTGCTCCCTGACGATGTTAACTGTTTCACTCCTGCCACAAAGGCAAGGTCCCATGATGTCCCACCTAGAACCAATCAGGCGATGCAGGCTGCAAGGCCTTTCAGAACCCTGAAGTCAGTTGTCAAAGGATACTTCTGTAACAGAGCTGTATTATTAGCCCGTTCCTCCCCTTTCTCAGGAGAAGATGCAGCTACCCTTGGACAGGCTCCTGACAGACTGGCCCACTCCTGAAGAACCTGAGCCTCTGGTCATCAGTGAAGTCCTGCATCAAGTGACCCCAGTCTTCAGACATCCTCATCACCCCAACTGGCCAGACAAGGGACAAGAAATCCAAGGTCACTATACCTCTGAGGAAGACACAGGATATAGTGCCTCAAGCCTACCACCTCCCAAAGCTCTCATAGCAGAGACAGGACTAGTGGATCTGTACAAGATGTTGGGGAGCAGGAGCCCTGACCCAAAGCCAGGACACCTAGCTGGCCCTGTGACAGTACTCCCAGTGGACTACCTTCCCACCCATGAGGGATACTTACCCTCCAACATAGAGTATCTTCCTTCACATGAAGCTCCTATAACTGATCCTCTGGAAGAACTAAAGCCTCAGCACATCTCTCTTTCCATTTTCCCAAGTTCTCTTCACCCACTCACCTTCTCCTGTGATAAGAAGCTGACTCTGGATCGGTTAAAGATGGGGTGCAGCTCCCTCATGCTGTGAGTGGTGAAGCTTGGAAAGTCCATGTGCTCCCAGCCCCCAATGTGTCTCTCATCCCCAGCCCACACTGCTCCAGTGGTCATCACCTCTGAGGTGCTGCTATCAGGTCCGTTTCCAAATAGAGGGCAAACAAAAAGCCCAGGGTTTGTCTTGGGAACTGAGAATTGGCTGTAACCCAGATGCCTGTCTTGCCTTCTCCAGAGCCTTAGGACTACAGTTAACCCTTGAACAATGTGAGGGTTAGGGGCACAGGCTTAAATCTGCATAACTTGTGACTCCTCAGAAAGTTAACCATTGTTCACTTTTTGACCACTCTTACTGGTAACATAAACACTTATCTTGTAGATGTATTTTATATACTGTATTCTTGAAGCTAGAGAAAAGAAATGTTAAGAAAATCGTAAGGAAAAAGATTTATAGTACTGTATTTATTGAAGAAAATCCACCTAAGTAGACCCACACAGTTCAAACTTGTGTTATCCAAGATTCAATGGTACACCGTGTGTACCTAGAGACTCCAATCTGGGTTCCCACAACTTTCTTTGCCAGGTTGGCCAGTAAAGGGAAATGATAGAATGGAAACCAAGGCTCTTACTAGCAAGGGCTAAGAATCCAAGCTTTATAAAGCTGCTACTCCATACCAAGTCATACACCTAGATCAGAAGCATCCAGTAGGCCTAAGGCAGAAATGTTCTCTACATTTCTTTACTGTTCGCTGCAGTTGATATGAACCACATTGGCTATTGACCACTTTGGAATGTCTAGTATGACTGAGAAGTGAATTTTGATTGTAATTAGTCACATATAGGAGGGCACAGGTCTAAATTACGGATCCACCAGTAAGAATTACAATGAGTCTTCAAAACAGATCAACCCAGTTTTACAGAGGATGTAAAAGATCATGGTGAACATCAGTATTACAAGGGCTCCCAAATGGTCATGACTGTTCTTATTTGTGAAAGCCTGTACAAATACACCTTTTTGCTAGTTTTCCTATTGTTTTATTTTGTCTTCACTCTCTTTCAGTGAATCAAGAACAACTTACTGGTGGGAAGTTCCTGTAAACCCGCAATATGACCTTGGGCAAACAGCTTCCCCTCTCTGAAATCCAAGGTTTTGGAAAGGAGTGGGCCAAAGGCTTTCTGTCACCTTGTTTCCTCTTCTTTCTGCTGTAGCAGCTGTTGCCTTCAGGATCAGGGCTATCTCAGGGTCTAATGGTTGCACTCACTTATGTCAACCCTTTCTACCCAAGGCATCCTGCTTTTCCTTCCTCAGGAAGACAGAACTGATGCTGAACTGAGCCTAGGAGGTAATTCTTTTTCCCAGCATGAACTTGAAACATGATACATGTTGTATTCACTTAAAGCTGTGGCCACTGGCTTGTCACCTTCCCCACCCCATCACTGCTTCTATCCCTTCACTGTAAGCCCTTCTGCTAAGCTGGTAAGGGAAGTCTTTTCAAAATGCTAATAGTACCCTTTCCAAAGTAACAGGATGAAAAGTCCAAGAAACCTTCTTAAATCCCTGTCAAGCCCAGGGCCTACACCCCAGCCTGATCCCAAACCAAACACTGGCACTGAGACCGCTTTGGTTTACCAAATGTCCCTCAGAGCTCTAGGAACTCAAGTGATGAACATTTGCTCTGCTTGTTCATGTTCAATTCTTTATGCTTCCTGCCATTCCAGATTTAATACAGTTCTTTCAGGCTTTCTTTGAAAAGCTTAGCAAGTTCCTTCCTTACATCCCTATTCTACTCTATTTAGGTGCTGCTCAGCACCGCCACACATGGTTTCTTGAATCTCAGCAGCTTCAGCGTTTGTCTATACCCAGGATGCGGTGCCCCTTGTTTGACTGTTTACAGTGGGTCGTAACAGACAAGGCCACCTCCTCAGAAGCAGGCTAACCTGTCACCTCTTGACAATGGGAGCCAACTTCTCTTGTTGCAATACCTGCTTTACCTAGCTCCGATTTTTCTTTTGCTGGCCTGATACCCATCTTAGTCATTCTTCCCCTCCCCACTCGGACCCAACACCCAACTCCCAGTCTCCCTATTACCCCTCTAGACCCTTTCCCTTTCCCAAGTGATACTACAGTTATTTGTGTTCCTAGAAAGTAAAAATAGGGGCGCCTGGGTGGCGCAGTCGGTTAAGCGTCCGACTTCAGCCAGATCACGATCTCGCGGTCCGTGAGTTCGAGCCCCACGTTGGGCTCTGGGCTGGTGGCTCGGAGCCTGGAGCCTGTTTCCGATTCTGTGTCTCCCTCTCTCTCTGCCCCTCCCCCGTTCATGCTCTGTCTCTCTCTGTCCCAAAAATAAATAAAAACGTTGAAAAAAAAATTAAAAAAAAAAAAAGAAAGTAAAAATAAAGAATTTACTGGACTGTAAATAACTTGAAGGCAGGAACGATCTGCTTCCCTCACACCATACCTGGTTCACAGTAGGCTATCAGTAAAATTAAGGAGCCATCACCTACCAGTTTTCACCTTGTTCCTTCTGTTCCAGAAGCCAATCTAGCTGTGCCTGCTTCCTTTTGTTGGGACACTTAAGTTTGTATTTGTTCTTCATTCCCAACATTCTACTCTACTGTTCACTGACAGCATTGCTATATAATACATGTAGCAGTGGTTCTTATTTTAAAGACCTATTTGAGCATGCCTTTGGCTGCTCACTCTGCCAGATAAAATATCCTCTTTCCATGAATGACAGAGGATGGGTAACCCTGTTCTGCCCTTGCCAAGTAGTTTTTGATTACAATCCCCTCATCCTGCAGATGCAGTCAAAATACCAAATTGGGCTGCCTCCTTTAACCAGGACTAGGTGGAACTCATAAATATTCACACATATTCATACACCCAACTTTAATTACACAGGAAAATTAGCTATGATTTTAATCCTCACGCCTTCCATACATCCCAAAGCCAACACGGAAATCTCTGCTCTACTGAAACACATCAAACTCCTTAATTCTGAGACCTAAATACTACAAATAGAGTCCAAGTTTACTTTTAATGGATTCATGGGAATCTCCACCACTAATTCTTGTGCAGAGATTCTTATCTTACATTGCCCCTTGAAAGGTCCCTCTTTCCCAGAAGCTAGAGATTCTACTTCCTGGGTCTCTGTCTTCCTTTTAGGCAATAAGAAAGTCAAACTAGTGTTATCTAGTTCTTTCCCTTTACTGACTTTTCCCTTCTGTCCTAATTTCTCAGCTTCCATTAATAGCCCACAGCTGCAACTCACCAATGCCCTGAGGCCAGTGAAAAACATGCCAGCTAGGCACATTCTATTCTTGTCAATCCCCTATGTTCGATTCTTGGTTTTTCTCCATTAGGCTGTCTTTTTCCTTCATGATACAGTTGTGATCTGTTCCAATATCTCAGCTCAAGTCCTCCAAAGGAGCCCAGTTTTTCTCTTCCTAACCTGCAGGACTCCTGGACATTCATAGTATCCACCCTATGAAAGGCTGATAGGTGAACTCTCAAGTAAATCACTTGTCTAGAATTAAGAGATCAGAAAGGTTTCTTCCTTTCCACTAATAAAAGATAAGCAATTCAATCAACTGCCTGTCAGTGGAAAGAAGTCAGATCTTTACATCGCAGCCTATACTAAAGCTCCAATAAACTAAAACTTTGCAAAACACCACACCAAGTTAGATAAAAATAGTTATATATGCCCCCAAATAACTAACTAAATTAGGTGCTCTTACAGATCAATATGAAAAAAGCCAACACTTTAAAGTAAAATGGACTGAGTAGAGCCAACTCACAACACATGTAACTGCCTGGTAAGCATAAAACAATCACCTATAATCAAAGGAATGAAAGATAATGCCATTTTTCACGTATCAAATTAGAATAAACTGGTGCGCACAACCAGGAATGTTAGTTGGCTTTCTGGAAGCAGTTGGACAATAATATTCAATAAAATTTGAGTAAACCAACTCCACACCTAGCAATGCAGACTAAAGAACAGTATAAACATCAAATAGGATAAAGGACTGATCACACCATACATTAAAATGGAGAGGGGGGCCTAAATGCCCTTCAGTAGGTACCTGGTTAAACCATAATCTATATAACAGTTTTATGGAATCTAAGATTCCACTAGTTTTAGGACACACCATTACTTTATGCTCTGAGTAGGAAAAAGTGCTAAACTCTAATATGCCATCAATTTCCATGATGGATGTTCCCCCTGCCCCCACCATTTTAACATGCCTGAAATTGGAATGGATCTTTGAACTGATGAAAAGCATACTATACATGCATTTTACAAGTATAATATTGGACATGGAAATGGTCAGTTTCAAAAGGCTGAATTGAATCATCTCACTTTTATAAATCAATGCAAAACAAACAAACAAACCCTGGAAGAATATACACCAAGATGCTGTAGTGGCTATCTCTAACCATAGGTTTTTAAATTACATTCTTTTCACCAAAAACTCATTACTCTTGTAATAGGATAAAGTCAATAAAATATGAAGTTATTACCAATTTCCTTCCGAAGACTTGAAACAGTGGATCTAGAGACAGACCCTATTGAGCACTTTAAGCCCATGCTGCTTTCATCCTCCACCGTGTTTGGCACTTTCACTGACCATTAGTACTCCTGTCAGAGGGCACAGCAGAAAAGTAAAAAAGGCAAAGTAGATGACATGCTTGGTAAGGGTGGGGTTAGAAATTTTAGGGTAATAACTTAAAGCAGTGGATCTTGGAAATACAAAGTTTTTATCATAAGCCAATTTTTCCCAAATCCCCATTCTAATAGGAATAATGACCAGTATCATCAAACAGTCCTTCGTACATGCAGTTTTGAAGGGTGTAATTAATGCAGTGCTCACCCTGACTGGTTAAGGTATAATACCCACTACTCAGGTGGGGAAACATACAAATTAAGTAACTTCTAAGTCATATAACTAGTACCTGATATTGGAGAGTCTTGTTTCAGAGAATAACCTTTATAATTCTTTCCTATGCAAAAGACTGCTCTTCAAATTTATGTC